ATGGAGATCCATCAGAGAAGACTTTCATTCTAAAACAGGGAGGGGGAAAGGGACTGCATCTCCCCTCAAAAGCCCAAATTTCCTGAATCTCACTTGACCATAACGCTTTCTTCTATATTTAAGATGCTGTATCAGCACCTCAGATGCCTTTATCAAAAGAGAAAAGAAAAATCCGAAAGCTACAAACCTTTGAGGATGTAAGCAAGAGAGACTTGGAAGGGAATCTAAGCAAATTTTGAACACTTCCATTGAAATAAACCATGACTATTGGGCTAAACTATTAGGAAGGAAAATACTTAAAAACTGAAGGTGACAAATGAATAAACTTCACCTTGAGCAAGTAAGAGCTGGCAGGGCTTCAAACTAGGCTACCTCTGTTCTAGAGTTAAAGCCCTTGTTAATAAAGGTTTAAGCCACCACAGCGTTTAACAGTGCCTTGCCTTCCCATAGGCCTATTTCATAAACTTCATCTTTTACTTTTTTTTTTTTTTGTCATTTTTTGTTTTTATCAGCAGTCTGTGAATGTACATTTCCATATGGCATGGTCTTTGAAAAAAAGAGCGTGGAAGTTTGATGTGGGCTTGCTCTACAAGAAAAGACACATTTTCTGGTGACAGACTGCATAGATGAACATGGAACTACAATGCACTTGAAGCATCCTTCTACAGCAGCAGGAGTGTACGAACAAAACTTAAAAAGTACTCAGCTGCAAAGTATCCTTGTAGTAGAACAGCATTACAAAGCCTCTTCAGCATGTACTTTGTCAAAGGGACAGTGAAGAACCAAATAAAAGAAATTCAAACCTCAACCAGTTAAGAGTATCCTTAGGCTTTTCCCGGATCTGTTCACTTTATTTCTTCCCATCTCATCAGATGTCATTTAAAAACAGAAGTCTGCATTTCAAAGGCTTCCCTTCTTGTGTCCATTAATGGTCTGCTTTGGAATTTATGGCTTGAGAAGAGGGAGACCTCTTGATTTCTTTACAAGATATGTTGATCAGAAGTTTGATAATATTAGGAGATATTCTGGGATCTTATTTCAACTAGAGAGCCTGAATTCAATATGGTTCACTTTTTTACAGACTACAGAACTGCTTAAACAACAGCCATTTAAATTACCACAAGAACAGGTGTTGTGATTTATAATGTAAACTTAGATATCAAACACAAATAGCCTTTGGGGGATGTTCAGAAGACAAAAATCATGCCCAAGAGGCCTTTCTCATCCCTTTCTTTACGACAAAGTAATTACTTACAGTATTGCAGGATACTATTATACATGAGGCTTTAGTACTCACATTACCTCTTAAAGCCTTGCAAACATATATATTACCTGCTTACTAAACATTTGAGATTAATTGCTCCTGCTCAGAAGACCTAAGGACTAGTAGATAGAAATTTTGGAGCAGAAACAGTATTAAACACTATATATACACAATTCTTGTGTGTGTGTTTATTTGAGTATAAATACATGTATCTACTACATGCACTTTATATATATGTGTGTCATCTGTGTACATGTATTTATATAAAGTTCAAAGTATTCATTTAAACAGCCAAACCAAATTAAGTTTCAGAGGTCCTTAACATAGAAGAACGAGCCATGCAGACGAATGAGTACCCACACGTGCACAGGCTCATATGCGCAGCCTCTGTGGTCCGGTATGATCCCTTTTATCCAGAATTCCTACAAGTTCTGTACAAGAACATAGATCTGGCCTCAGAAGATACAGTATGTAAGTTTTAAAGATAAACAGACAGATACATAACCTGTTACGAACATATACTGCAAAAACAGACAAAGAAGATTGAGTCTTAATTAAAAGTTAGGAGATGTAAAGAGCCAGTGAGTACTCTGGCTTATTCTAAAAATAGGAGAGAATTTACTTGGTTGCCTATTTTTTTTCCAGAAGACAAGCCATACGTTCAGAGGAAAGGCTACACAGATTTCAGAGATTTAATTTTCCACAAGCACAGGCCATAAATTAAAATACAGCAATCCAATCTCATTAATAGTGCAAGAAAAAGCTAAGTGGCTGCTTTGGTCTTTGCTTTCATGAACTTGTGTCAAGCTCAGTGACTTCAAAGAGATTTCCATTTCATTTCTACAAATGAAGAGAACAGACAGACAGAGAGTCTCTGCCATCCTCTGATGCCTTAAGAAAACAGAAGAAAAACATGCCTGTATCTCATTCGCCTAATGATTTTAGCTGCAAAAGGAATCCCGTGGTTGGCAGACGACCCTCAGGGCAAGGGCTTGAGGTCTGTCACAGTATATAAGGCTTCTCCAAACCCACTCCATTATCTTCATTATTGTATACCAGGAATAAAAGGGGACTGACTCCTCTTCTGAAGTTCAAGTTAGAAAGGACAGAATGTTTCATGTAAAATAACATTGTGTGACTTCAGTAATAGGTTTATGCCTTTGGGGGCCTAATATTAAAGCTGCATATAAGGATTTTCTGCAGAATTTGAAAGAAGAAAATACTAGCATTGTATTAGCAATGAGTGAAATTCCTCAAGTTTTAGATTCACTGAAACAGTCCATGTCTCTGTGTCAGCAAGACTCATTGTCAGTCACATACTTTCATACAGCAAGAGTAAAATGGCAAGTTTAGGGGGGAAAAAAATAGAGCTTGGGGCTTTAGAGCTAAGTATAAAGCCCTACAAAAACCAAAACCATACACATACGCAAGGAGGAAAAGGAAGTGACAAGCTTTTGGAAAGTTCTTAGAAATGAGTAGGTAGCATGACTTCCTGACAGGGGACATTAACCAAGGGCACATACACAACAAAATAACATGGAAACCACTTATATGAAGAGTGATGCTTCCCTTGTCAGCTCATGTGTGGCTACACGTATGTGCTTACATATGTGCATGTATACATGTGTGCATTTGTGCATTTGCATTTACAAAACAGTATGTTTCGTAACACTGTAAAAATCCTTGTCCTCTACTGACAAAATACAAGTATTAACTCTTACTTTCTAACTACCGTAAGGAAACCGTTTACCTTACATCAATAAAGTTTCTTAAAAAGAGTCAGAGTTGTTATCAGTATTTTTGAGTATCTCACTTATCCTCAAAACCCATTTAAGAAAAGAGAGGTCCTTTCCCTGACTGATCCGAGGTTCGGATAGAAACGGAAGTTGTCTACCCAGCCCTTCTCTTTTTTCTGGTTTTGAAGAAACAGGCCGTTTGAAAGAATGCTTCAAAAGCACATTTCCCACAGTAATTCAGAAGACAATTTCAAACAATAAAACCAGAGCAAACATAGCCCATTGTACAAGTTAAATAATATATAAACTTTTGAGTACATAGAGAAATGGGAATCCGACTCATATCTGGTCTTTGAAAGATTCACAGGAAATTGATTTAATTAAACCTCAGCTACTGGTGCAAATGTTTCCCTTTCTTCCCAAAGAGAAATAAAGTATTATATCATTGTTGTTGATATAATGCAGCAAAGCTTAACCAAGATTCTTGGTCTTCTCCTACAAAGCTCTGCAAACTAGCAAGGCTAAAAATTAGTACTGAAATAGAGACTGATCATGCATTCCTGAATTGTTACCTACACGTACTACCAAAGATTCCCACTTGTAACTTATCTTATTCATGGGGAAATTCATTAATATGCTAATTACCTGACTAGCAACCAGTGCCGACTGACAACTTTACTTTCAGCACCAGATGAAGAAGACATGACAATAAGTTGATTTTCTGTTGGAGTTCAAACAGAGAAGACATTGTGCTTGCAGTAGTACATACTTCTTTTAGGGAAAGAGACTCGTATTTGGGGAGGACCTCTAAGAACGGTCTTGCCACCTGCACCCAGAAATATATATTTTTTAATTAGCCACTGTAAAAACAATCATGCTGGCTGAAGGGAAGGGGGAGGGAGACTTGTCAAAATGATGTATTTGTCTCTCACCACCTTTCAATGCTCTTATGCAAGTCTAATTTTCTTCCTAGCCAGCTCACCTCTCTGGCCTCCTTTTGTTTCATGTCCCATTTCCCATTCTCTTCTAACTTCTGAACTTTTGTTAGTGCGCTTTTAAAGAGAAAGGGAAAAAAAAAATCCCAACCCTTTCCTATTCATTTTTTCCTGGATGGGGAGTAAGCAGAGACATGAATATGGTACCCTCATAATGATTTAACTAGGGCTTAATGAAATTTTCATCACAACCTGCTGTTCATTTTAATGGCCTTTGAAAGACAATAGAACAATGGCTACAGGGAAGAAAAGATTTTCTGTTGCATGCATTTGCAAAGCCCAACATTCAGTTGCTACCCCTCCTTTCTCTCCCAATCTCTTCACAAAGCTGTAGATCTTTTGTTTGTACTGTATATTTTCATTTTAGTAGAGCCGAGATAATGCACAGGCTCTGTAACCGTTCTCACGTCTATCTGTGGCCTTTTCTTAATGGAGTCTGTGCAGCCTGTACAACCTAATACTCAACAGAGTATTCATACATAGCCCAGAACTCCCTATTCTTTCCTCTCTCATATAAAAGCCTGGTCTCCTTCCCCCCACATCCATCCCGTACACAGGAAGGATATTTTCCATTCAAAGGCACAAGTTAGGCCATGGCACTGACCATTAAGTCAACGTAAATGCAAAATGACATGCTATGATTATACGTAATATCAAAAAAAAAAAAAAAAAAAAAGCTTAGACAAAGAATTTGTTTCCCAGCAGACCCTTACTGTGTGCTCCAATCAAGAAGACTAATTTACAATCCTGTCATGCTCACGTACGTGGCAGTGTGGCTGTGTTTGCGTCCGTATTTTCATCCCAGTATGCAGGTTGTCCTAAAATTTTCTTGTAGATGGTGTCAATTCATGCTTCAATACTGAGGTGGGCCCCAAGGGCCACGCTTTTAAACAATTTAAATAGATTTCTACAACAGGATAAGGCGGGTGTAAATGAAAATGAAGTCTTATTACTGTGCATTAGGGAACAAGGCTCAGTATGTTCACACAACATCAACTGGCTCACAGTCGCCTGGAAATCTAGCTGTAAATAGGCACGCTGGATACCTATGGAGAACAGAGTGAGAACATCATCTTCCAGTCAGGGGTTTGACTCTGCCCCAAATAGGCGGAAATTGAAAATCTTACTTAAAGGAAAGCTGTTCTGTGGCTTTCTCAGGGGCGAGATGTTTGGTCTTAGTCACAGCCCACAGAGCACAAGTGGCATCGTCGTCAACCGGACATACACTCTCAAAGAGAAACCGATTCTCCAGAAATGATACAGATGTGCCAAGGTTGAAACTTGCTGGCCAGACATAACGCAGAGAAAGCCTGTACTGTGTCTGTTTGTACAGTACCTGCACTACAGATAAATAGGGGATGACATGATAAGACATGCTCCAGACAAAACCTTTCATGGACTCCAAATTTAACTTCTTACCTTTCACATAGTGGCATGCGTACTAGATAATTTCACAAAAACACTGACATTGTTGATAACACTGCTTTTTGCTCTAGAAACAGGGGAGGGAGGAGTAGTGGTGTAAATGACCCCCAGGCTGCCAAAACTACAGTGCTCATTGTACCCACGCTGAGGAGGTTGCTGCGTCCTATCGCAACTGTCACAAAAAGACCATTATGACAGACAAAGGCTGTCACTTGGGAAAAGCTAAAAATATTAGCGACGATGGGATATTGCTGAAATTCATCTCTAATGTAGACAAGAACTATGAGTTTTTTACTTCAATTTTGCTAGCAAGAAAAAGCAAATGGAGAGAAAATGGGAAAAAGTATACATATCCAAAGAATCTGGAGAAAAGAAAACAAACCAGCAAATTTTGGCCAGTTTCCCAGGCCTTACCTTCTGGCTCGTTTTTGATGAGCTCTTCCATTTTTCTTTGCTTAAGGGTGTCTACGACATCCGCTAGGCTCCCTTTGCGCCTTTCAGGGGTTCCCAGGGCTGTGCTGGACAATGATTCTCCACTCTGACGCCCACCTTCTTCTGCCTTCAAGGGTGAGGTAGATGAGTTGTGCGGGGCAAATGAAGACATCACTTTATTGCCATCAACTTCCTGAAAGGGGAGAAAAATGAGATCGAACATTTCTTTTCTTAAAGAAGAAAAAAATAAAGATGGAAAGAAAGAACAATCCTTTTTTCTTTGAGTTCATTGCTGTTTGTTCTTCTGTTCAAACCTTTAAAAAGGCACGCAATACTTCAAAAACACCCAGAACAAAGCCTATCCATAAAGCATAAACCAAGATTACAGGCTGAAGCAAACAAAGATCAGCTTGCAAGAGAGAAACATAAAATACAGTTTTCCCCTAATTGAGAAGAAGTGTTGTACTCATAGGTTTCCTAATAACAATGGTATTGATTACCTTTAATTGTTTGTTCTTTTACAGCTTGCTTTTGAAAAAATCTTCAATTTTTACAAGGACCGTTAATTTCCTGACTTTATAAAGTACTTAATGCCTTGACGGCTAGTTGTTGTAAGAAATGAAATAGTAACCAAATTTAAATGCCCTTCTCCATGTGACTTATTTTAACTCACAGTTCAAGTAGTTCTCCCATATATAAAGGACGAAGCAATTGTTTTCTAATTCTCCTTCTGTTCTCCTATCTCATATGTTCAATTCTTGCAGAGACAATATTTTTCACAAAGGTGGTCCTAATGACTTTCACTGGCAGCACAACAGCAGAACTCTCTGCCTTGCTGGAACATACACAGAATCCTCCTCACGTGAGAGTCCACAGAGGTCTACTCATTAATTTTAATGGAAACCCAAACTGGTTCCAGCATCTTCAAACTTGCCTTCATTAATGTGAGAGCCTTCTCCTTCACGCCTTCTCCAAAATAAAGCCATGTTCTCTGCATATATTGCTTTTCCCTTTTATGTCTCTTTTATACCCTACCCTTCTGTATACATCTCTGAAATCCCCTTTTTTCTCTGCTAACATACGCCATCTATACCTTGCAAAACTTAGGTCAATGTCTCCAAACAAAGCTTGCTGCAGAGTACATACACTGCATAATATAATGCTGCAAACATGAACAGTTTTTATTTTGATCAGATTCTCCAAAGGGTTTTTTTTTTTTTTCATTTTCATTATCCTATTTCCTTACCTTTTGTATTCCAGATGAGTATTATTTTGAAAAAAGTCATTAGACCATGTTGTGATCCGAGTTACAGACTTGGTTGAAAAAGTCTTAATAATTTTTAAATTGTTTTCATTTTATAGCATATGAAAGCGACACATATACTGCTTTTAGGGATTTGTGTTACAATTTTATCTTTTTTTTCCCCTGAGTAATTTTTGGTGTCTCTGGTTCAACGAATTCCGGTATTTCAGAAAAAAAAAGTGTCTTTTCATAAATAGAACATATATTGCTAAAAAATATCTCAATAAATTTTGAATAAAGCGACGTAAAAGTTTTGAAGTAAATAATGTGTTTGTTTTCACATTTTGGCAAAAAGATTACCATTGGTTAAGAAAACTTTTAGTGCAAACAATTTTGAGCAGCTTGAATGTGTTATACTAGTGAATAAATTCCCTAACAGAATCGGATTTAACTGAGATTACAATCTGGGCCGTCATATGCCCCAAAAGCCAAACCCAGTGATGTTAATGAGAGACTTTCTACTGACGTCAATGAGCTTTTGACCAAGCCCTAAAAAATTTTCCGACTCTAGTCAACAGAAATGCTCCTTTTTTTTTTCGTGTAACTCCCTCCATTTTTGTTCCGCACTTGGAAAATTACAAGTTCCTAACAGTGGACTGAAAAAATGAGTTGGAGCCGAATGTAATTTTTTTCACATATATATAGACCTGAATAAACTGTTTTTTAACACTGATCTAGATGAGAAAAATAGTTAACTTCAGCATCATCAGTTCAGATTTTATCCAACATTCCAACCCGTTATCACCAAGTGGCAATTTTTTTTTCCACAGACAAGGCCAAAAGAGGAAATATCTCCAAAGCTGCTTTCTTATTCACACTTTGAAGACACATAAGCCAAATACCATCCTTAGTTACAGTTCTTAAATCCACCTATATCACCAATTATAGGAACGGCATTGTTCCTAATTTTACCAGGAACTAGTTTCTTGGTTTTATTCCAAAGTGGGTCCCAAAGACACTCACTTGTGTTTCTGTGTATGTCACACATTGGTCACAGACACAAAGGACTTGCAACAGCTGCCTAAACCTCGGGAACCATCACTGCTGTTTCCACGCACATTTTGCGTGCATTCAATTGTTTTTGTATGTGCAAATATATTCTGAGTATAAAACAAGTTTGTTGTAAGAGAAGCAGCATATATACCCAAGGACTGAATGATATGTAAAGTAACAGAAGGTGATTTTCAAAATCACAAATTGCTTAGCATTCAAATGGAACCTTTCAAAACTACTAAAATTCCCCTGCCTCTCTCTCTGGGGAAAAGGAACCGTGAGGAGGAAAGGACGAGAGAGTAGTTTGTAAGCGAAGCATCTTGAAAGGGCTCGGGATACTCAATTGCTAGTTCTTTCAAATGTTCTGTGTAACCATGGAAAAAAGCCACTTCTGTTTCTGCGTTTCAGTTTCCTACCTGTAAAATAGGTACAAAAGAAGTGATTTCTTACATTGTAAAGGTCTTGAAATGACAAACTGATTAATAACACAGAGACGCCCTGATACTACAGTGTTGGCTAAAAGTGTTTATGTAGTACCACGGTTAAGACGACTTCGTAGCTGGACAAAAAAAGGACGGGGAAGGGTTTTTTAAAAGATAAATTATCTACTAAACTACTCACCTAAGTAATCATCCCCAAAACAAAATGCTTCCTTCGACTGCTCTTGTTATGTGTGCATGTATGCAGTGTTGGCACATCACATACGTGGGCTATTTATACACTCGTGGGCTTTAAGATACACTCCACTTAATCAAAACACATATACAGTAGGGGAACAGCTGCAATCACATCTCAGTGGGCTAAATTACAGTACACCAGTGAATTACTCATTCAAAAAGATCTGGAGCAATCACACATTCATTGCGTGATTTGCAGTCTAAGAGGAATCCTCTCCTTTCCATACCAGCGGATGAGCGCACTGCTGTCGCTGAGAGTTCTGCATGGATCCCCTGGCCCCCCGGTTCAGGAATCTGCCTTCCCCGCTCGTCCGTGATCTTTTTATTCAGCCGTTCAGAACCACCACCTGAAATGCTCAACTGTTACCTATCTTGGCTTTTGCTTTATGTCCCTCCGTTTTACGTTGCTCTTTCTTATGCCATTACTGGGGAAAGTGAAAAAGAAGTTTCAGTGGTTCTGGATTTTTGCTTTTACCATGTAAAAAGAAAGAATAGGATACTTGCACATAAAACTTACTCGTGTCAATGGGTGTATCAAGTTAAAAAACTTCTAGCAAGGGAACTCCTCTGATACTATGTATGAGAGTTTAACCGTCCCCTGAACACACTCACCCTGCAATCCGTAATGGCAAGAAAGATATGTCTGCAACAGTTTAAAATCAGTCCCCTGAGAAGGAAGTTCCCTCCCAACAAGTGAGATTTCGCAGGTCCCTTTTTTGAAAGGGCAAATCCATGTGACTTTTTTCAGTCAAATGGAGAGAAAAGCAACACCACTGCTAAGAGTGGTACTAAAGAACCTGAATACCTACGACTGACGTTTTGAAGTGAAGTCCATCAAGCCACACACAAATTCTGTATCTCAGTCCGCAAAGCAGTGGAAAAAAACAGACACCCTTTTACGGGAGAACCGTCCCTCTCAGCTGCGTAACCATCTCACCTGCTCAAGTTTGATTACACCCCAGCCTGTGGCCCCGTTAATCCTGGTCAGAGCGTCACGCGGCTCGCAGCTGCCTCGTGGATGGGGCTCTGTTGTTCTAACGCGCGCTGCCGCAACGCTTCACCCAACTCCGAGCCGGGCTGTACTCACCAACACCCGGTGCTGCTGCTTCTCGCTCTTCCCGCTTCGGCAAGGCGGACGAGGACCTCCGCCGATCCCACCGGGTCAAACACCCCCGACCTTTCTTCCCTCCCCCCCAACAACAGCAACACCACCACAAAAAAAAGGACCGGCCCGCGTTTCGCGTCTTCTGCTTCTGTTCTGAGCCAGAATCCACAGGAAGACTCGTTCATTTACCAGAAAGTTGCCTCTACATTGCCAAACAGCTTTCCACCTATGCAGGAAATGCCTCTTCCAAGGTTTAATGATAAAACAGGCTTCTGCCCTTTCAGGATGAGGTCAATAATCTTCCTTTGTTAATCTTGGGCAAGCTTTACTTAATCTAGCCCCCTTGTCACCTTTGTGATTGACAGGAAAAGTCATGTCACTGGACAATGGACTTATCCTCGCTGAGCAGTATCTTTTTTAAAGATTACACAACGTTACCCTTGCTCTCATAAAAAGTGCAAACATTCTGTTGTTAGAAGAAGCTATTCGTTCCAACTGTATCTTTCAAACGGTCTCTCTCCGTTTCCAGGGTCCAACAGTTCTACAGAGGGACAGTGAAATGCTTCATGAAAAGAAACAGGTTGTACTTGGTGAGATTTCCAAAATATCTCCTAGTGCTCTAAATAGATCTCATCTTCTCCTTCCTCATCTAGAGATGCACATTATCCCTGTCTGCAATTAAACTTAAGACAGAAAACTCTGTTTCCGTGACATTAAAATTTTGTCCCAAACCAACCAATAATGGAAGCAGAAGAAAACTCAGAACTAAGTCTGAAACTGTTAATTACCACCATATGGTACGCAAGGAGGCTGCATCTGCAGAAGAAAAATCTTAAAAAATTACGAGAATCAAGCTTCTGGCTTTGCAGCCAAAAACACCTGGAATAAAAAACTTGTGTCTTTAAAACAAGCACGGATATTGTCTGAAGACTGTGATCCTCAAAGCAACCCAACAGGTTCTTTTTGCAAAGCTGGAATTTTGCCCATACGTTGCTCCTTTAGAATGTGTAAAGAAGACACGAACGCACATTTTTTGCTCTGCTTCAGACATGTAGGCCTATCTACTTTATAGTCTCCATAGTGACCAGGAAGCTGGTAACAGTATGACATAAGAG